ATATATATATATATATATATATATATATATAAATACATGTGTATAGGCATATATGCATGTATATATATATATATATATATATATATATATATATATATATATATATATATACATATATATACATATATATATATACATATATATATATATATATATATATTATATATATATATATATATGTGTGTGTGTGTGTGTGTGTGTGTGTGTGTGTGTGTGTGTGTGTGTGTGTGTGTGTGTGTGTGTGTGTGTGTGTGTGTGTGTGTGTGTGTGTGTGTGTGAATATATGGTGTAAGGGACGTTCTTATGAAAATAGGAATGCCTTGTAATATTTATGTTTCTTCCTCCTGCAAGACGAAGTAGTATGTGTCACATCGGTTGCCTAGAAACCACGGTGCCCTGCTGCTCTCTTGTGAGAGCGTTGAGACAGCTGGTTCTCACGGCGAACTTGTATGTGGTATTATGGTTGTTGCAATATTTAGTGAAACTTTTGTATTACCAATTACTTTAACAGTGTACAGACTAAGCAGTCGAAATTTAAACATACTTTCTTCATATGCTATATTAAACTTGTATTGCTTGTATATATAGAAGACATTGCTTTCTTTTTAATACAATTTTCTAATTTTCAGACAATTATACTAACTGATTCAACTAAGTTATAAAATACGATATTAACCACGAAGGCGACAGATTTTGGTAGACTTTTAGAATGGGTACGAGGATAAGTATGAGCGAGGTTGCGTGTATTCTGCTAACGCAGCTTTTGTTCATTTTCGCAGGTCGTTGATACCAGGAAGCCTTGAGTAAGACGATGCTGGACAAGCAAGGAGTTTATCAAACAGAGAACAAAGGACAGCTGTTGCGAGAAGGAAGTAATATCACTACTATAGAGATGGGGAAGATGCTTATTCATAATTTTTGAACAGCCATGTCTTATTGAAATTTGTTGCAGTTAGTGAGGGTCTGTTGATCAAAACGGCTTGGTTTTGATTTGACAATGCTGAACCATTTCATTTTTTGGTCATCATGAGATTTGGCCAATTGTGCACGCTTGAATGGCCACAATTCCCAGTACCTACAGTACGTGTTGTCACAAATTCATATATAAATGTAGTTGACAGAGGTTAAATCCGACCCTTGGATGTTGACAGAGAAAATAAAATAAACCAAGGCCAGTTACTAAATTTATATTGACGCTTAAATTTTACATACGGAAATCATTGTGATCAACCGTATATACTAGCTGAACGACACATTTGAATTAAATGTGCCATAACCCGCTCCACTGAGTATACCATGAACTGCACGGGTCCACGTTCATGATCCCCCAAAGATGCATGTAAGACAACTGCATAGGCCGTCCATCAATTTCAGATTCATTTTCCGGCCTTTTTCCTAACGCAATTATAAAACCCTGTTTTGATCGTGGGTTATAAGAATAGTCATTCTGATTTAATGTTTGATCTCGTGAAAGATTAGACATACATCAAAATGAAGGTATTTTACTGTACTGGGAGACGTATATTTATTACATGCTGTAGAGACCATTTCACTGTTTAAGATCACATAGTATTGTGCTCATGCGTGCGTAATTGATACCTTTGTTGTCAGCAAATAACTCATTTTTGTTTTATTAACAGGAGATAACTCATTATAACGTTTATACCTATTTAGCTTGGATTCCTCTTATTCAAGCATCTTGTGTATGTTAATTAATACTTTTTCTACCATATCTCTTGTACACTACAAAAGTTTTCGATAGGAAACTCTTTGCACCAGTAAAATATACCAATATTAATAGAGACCCTTCCTGCAAAGTTCCAAAATCCAATTTTAATATCGTCAGTGATACGAACATGATAGTAAATGCCGATATAATGGTTAATGGCTAAAACAAATAAATGTGCTAGACATGTTAAAGTATTGTGGCGAAAAGGAATAAACAAGTCATTCATTAGTACAAAGTGTATTAGATGCCAGTTCTACAGCACTATGTATGGTATGATAGTGAAAAAGGTAAAGAGGGTGGGGGCTAATGGGTACGGCAGAGTAAAAGGGGAAAGGGATTTAAGGGCTAGGGACGATTAGATCAAATGGAGGGTATCTATGCGTCTGAGGAAGAAACATGAGTTATCTAAGGAAAAGTGGGGGATTCCACGACGATGTTTACAGGTTGGGGGATCGGGGAAGAGAGGACAAGTGAGGAAAGCAGAGGTATAGGCTGCAATAAAGCGGAGATGGAACAGAATGTGTGGTGCTGAAAGGGGAACCATCAAGAAAAAAATAATGAGTACTAAGGGTAAAAATGGGTATCGGAGAAGTAGAAGAACCCGGTGAATGAGACAATACTTCAGAAGGGAAAGGATCCGCGGAAGGATGTTTTGACAAACTGGAGTCTCATGAGTATCCAGGAGCGAACAGAAGAGATAATGGGGAAAGAAGGGGTGTAGATGGAGAATGGGATGTGGTGCATTGGGAGAGTGGGAGGGAGAGGGATAGGAGAAACATGTGGAGGATGAGGATGGGTATCCGCAGTCACTTTGAAAGTAGAATGGGAGAGTAGAGATACTGAAAGGTGGATGAGGGAGTGTTTTCTTGGGCCATATTTAGGAAGTTTTGGATGTCCTCAAGAGTTTCTGGAGGAGGGCTGGGTGAGAAAATCTAAGAAACTAAGGTTTTGTTGAGATGAGACACACATCTGAAGAGCAGAGAGGGTCAGTGTAGGTGAGAATGTGGTAGATAATGGGGTGAAACATTTAGATTGCTTTGTGCAATAGGTAAAAGAAAGGAGAAAGAGGGGTAAGCACGGGAGAAATGGTAGAGATTTGAGTATGCGGATTTAGGATGGCAAAGGAATTTGACTGTGAGAGAGATTCGGTAGAAGTGAGATGATAAGGGGTTCAGGGAAGAGATAGAGGGGGAGATGGAGACATCTTGGGGAAAAAGAGGGAGGAGCGGAGCGAAGGATAACGTTGGAGTAGGGAACGAGAGAAAAATCTCGGCGTGCTTCCTGTCTGCCTCACGTAGAGTGTGGGCCATGTTTGATTTGCAACCTCAAACTCGGACTTGTAGACATGGCAGCTCTTGTAAAATACATTATGAAAGGAACAGTTGTCACTCGTGTGATTGTGTAGAAAAATTTGAACGGCTATGACCAGGTTGGCCAAGCATTGTCGCTTCACAGCGGACTGTGAAGCGACAATGCTTGGCCAACATTCCTGCTTGGCAGGTTGGCCGGAACGCCAAGATTCCTGCTTGGCAGGGTGGCCGGAACGCCAAGATTCCTGCTTGGCAGGGTGGCCGGAACGCCAAGATTCCTGCTTGGCAGGGTGGCCGGACCGCCAACATACATTCCTGATACCGATGGGGGAGGAGTCGATATGATCGGACAGGGTGGCACTCTACGCCAATATAATTTTATGGGGGAGGTCATATCTACATAAGGTAATCTTAGCAATATTGGTGTAGGGCTCTCGACAGCCTCTTGGGGGGTATAGTGTATCAATGTACTGACACTGCATTAGAGTTAACGAGGCAAAGCAAGTCATTCTGTCTCAACAATTCTTATCGTAGACAAGGCAATCAGCCGGGAGATGGAAATATTTCCGCTTTAAGTATTAAGGGAGGAATGAGGCAGGGTAGGAATTTGTTAGCCAGTGAGGGCAGTCTGGGTTGATAATGCACGAGCTATGTTAGGAGACTGACTTGACTGTGCCAAGGTGTGAACGATTGGAATAGCTGCGGAAGGAAACTCCGACTACTTGTTTTCGGTGACATTGTTGGAAGTGGAGGTATTGTCAGAGTAAGATGTGGTAGAGGGATTCGCAAAAACATGGATCCCATTTGGCTGGCTAAAATGAGTACTCAAAAGGTTTGTAGAGGGGTAGTTGAAGGACTAGGACGGGAGGAAGAGGGAGTGGTGTGGAGAGAGATAGTACTGCTGGGAGGAAGACAATAAGGATGAAGAGTATTAATAAGGGAGGCATCTTTTGAAAATGAAGAACACTGCAGTAAGCAAAGATCGAGTGGAAGATGTTGAGAGAGAGGAAGGGATATATTCTGAGAGTTGAGTATAGGCCTAGATGGATGATTCAGAATGAATTCAGTTGTCAGCAAGCATTGAGGTAGCGGGAACTGCGTTCCGAGTCATGATCAAAGGAGAGTCAAGGGTCAGAAAACCAGAGAGGTCAATTTCAGATAGGCAAGTTGATGAAGGGGTCAGCCTCAATGCCCTTAATAAGGCTACAAATACTTCATTATTGTCCGCGGTGGGCCTGAAATACGTGGAGAAGAGACAGTCTACCCCTCAAGGTCTCCATGAGAGGTATGAGCTAGACAACTAACCAAGATAATACTTTAACAATGGCTCCCGAGGCCGTTCAATACTGACATAAAACAACCTTTCATCCTTTCAGCATGGTTCTTACACTGTAGGAAATACAGAATAAGGGATCGGAGAAAAGAAACAAAAGGAAAGGGGGAGAAGAAAGAAAGACCATGCAAAATTGATTGAGCAGAGGGCTGAGGTCCAAGGTAGGTGCGATCCACTACACTAGGCCCTAGCTCACGTCTTCTGTGGCCTTTATGATTACAAAAGGCATGGAATTGAGGAAGGGCAAAACAGATATAGCAAACTTTTGAAATATTTTCAATAAAAAGTGAATGTAGTCTCACAGTATGACATAGCTGACCAAGAATGATAAAAAAGAATATACCCAGAAAATTAAAAATTGTGCTGTAGTCTGGTGAATACTTCATCCCTTGTTTCCCCATTTCAACTCAAACAGTGTGGATACTATTATTTGCAAGTTCTCTCTCCTTTTATGTATACTGGTTCCAGAAAACTTGCATATGGTTACACCAGTTTTACAACTATATATCAGAATTCTAGCTTGGTAACATTGTATATATCAAGGGTAAGTTTTTTCCGGAATCCTTTACTGCAGCAATGTGTATGCTATTTTGGGATCAAACTTCTTTTAGGTGAATAAAACATAGAAGTATTTTGCCCAATAATGGGTGTTTTTGGTAATAAAATAAACCATTACAAGGTCACCTGCCTTGCAGAACATGGAGAATATCATCCATTAACATTTAATTGAATTACTATACATACTAACAATTTCGCTAATGTGTATGGACAAGAAAATCCCTGTGTTGCCATTATCATCAAAAGCATTATATCCTCTTTACTGCAATGTTAATCAAATAGATGATGTGATGAAGAAACAATGTGGTACCCTATTAACATTTATTTGTAATTTACAAGTTGGGTAAAAAATACCATTCATTTTTATGCAAATCTCCTTTCTGTTCCCTGAATCAAAAAATACCGTTCTGAAGTATGAATCAAATACCTGTAAAAACTTTCAACTCCTCATCTCAAATGTCTGTTAACCATAGAGCAAAAAGAAATCAGCTGCATAACACTTTTCTTAATAAAAGCTGACAGAGAAACCCTTTCTGCTTGCATGCCAAAAATTGTCAGACATTCTTGCCATCATATTTTAAATGCAATTTCACTTGGTATAATTGATGTGAAATTCTTGTACCATCCATACTTTTCTTCCCCACTGCAAATATGCTCTTTCATTTCTTCTTTTCTTCTTTTAATCTCTGATGGAAACAGTCCATGACCATGCCAACATTCTAACAAGGATTTTAGGTGAATGTAAGACCAGCCTCCTTGTAGGTGTTGAAGATCTTCTCAATGGAATTGACATAAGCAGCAGTACGGAGATCAATGCCCAAGTTATACTTGATTGCAGTTCTCATGATGGCCTATGATGAAAGTGAGAAAAAAGATGAATCAACTGCAAATAATATCCTAAGTAATAAGCTTACTACTCAAGTGAAAGAAATACATAAAGGGGAAATAAATAAAATAACACTTTATTCAACTGATACTCACTAACACTTTTTCTTAGTGGTGGAAAGATTTTGAATGAAGTAACTGCTTAAATTTTTAAACAAGAGTGATAACCCCAAAATGAAACCATAACAAAACCCTTATGCAAAAGAAAAGAATCAAATAAGTAACACAGGTATGTGTGTATGTATATATATATAAACTTACTCTGGCAGAGCGTTCCATGGAGTAGTCCAAACCAGAGTGGACAATGTCTTTCTCAGATGCACCCTGTGACACAGATAAAATAATCATTTAATAATTTGTATTCTCAGATATAGATACAATCATTTGACCATGGTACTCACTAATAAACAGATGTTACCAATATAGAAAACATGATGGCTAGATATATATATATATGTCCCATATTATATATATACAAATTATCATCTACCAAGAAAATAAAGCAAATAATATATAAAAATTCAAACAGGCAAATCTCAACAACACACATGCAGTGATGGGTCAGCAAAACAAATACATAAAGAGAATTGTACCTACAAAAAGAAGGTACACAGTACCTTAATCTAAGAATTAATTAACGTGCATAAAGAAGATCAAGATAAAAACCATCAATCCTTACTGTAATATGCACACCATATATCAAATGTAGATTGTGAAAATTATTACTACTTGTAAATCTAACTAAAATTTGAAAGAGATATTTTGACATTTTACACTACAGAGACTCCTTCCCAATCATTTAACTTATATTTCAAATGAATGAGTGCATTTTCATAGGTAAGGAAACTATTTATAGGGAGAATTCCAGGCTGTTATACTGATTAAAAAATAACAAAAATAACATTAATGCTAAAGACAAAACATAATGGTGAAAGAGGATAGAGTTACAATAAGAATAAAAAGGAAAATTTGGGGGCTGTCTGTTCAATTATCATATATGATTGACAAGTATAACATCTTAAGTCTAAAAGCCTCAACTAAGGACTTTCACAAAAATAGATTATAAGCACTATCAATAGAGTGTGAAGTTCAGCCTTATGGTTTATAATCACTTGATATGTTGTGATATGTTAGCTACAATTTCTTTACATCACTTTATCAAATATTATATCATCATTGTTACTGCATTATCAATTCACTCACACTGTAATACTGTATTAGTATATTAAAAATCTAACATTTGTAAGAACACACACCAATTTTTATAACCATAAAAATGGTCTTACAGTGTCTTCCATTATAGCCCCAAGTTGAGAACATACTTAGCAGTAAATATCACAAGCATGAATACTTTTCATGTACATTTCTCTATTCACATAACACACAATCATCAATGTTTGTAAAATATATATCCAAAATAAAACCCTGAAGTGAAAATACCATGAAGAAACATATAAAGAAATACTCCCTCCCCCCCACCTCCTAGCCTCAAAAACTTATTATTATCCACATACAATCACACCTACACACTTTAGTGTACTCATTTTATTTCTTTTATTATGTCTTCAATATAAGGTCCCTAGTTAGCAGATATCTTCAGTTAGTAAGTGTGGTTTGCAAATCTTAAGTTTAGGTTTAGTGACTTTTACTGTATCTTTACGTACAGAAATGCGATCCTGGAAAGC